TACGGAATCTTTTGTTGTCTCAGTGTCCTTCGTTACAATAATGATACGAGTTATAAAGAAAATTCGGATAAAGAAGGAAAAATGGTTTAAAAATTAATTTACGGAATCTTTTGTCTTTTGGAAAGTGTCCCTTCGTTACAATAATGATACGAGTATAAAGAAAATTCGGATAAAGAAAGGAAAAGTTGGTTTTAAAAAATTAGAATGAGAAGAGGACAAAAACTGTAGTAAAGCATGGACTTGCAAAAAAAAAAGGAAAAGGAAATTACAATGAGAATGAGAATAAAGAGAGCGAGGAAGAGAAAAGGAAGAAATGTAAAAAAGGAAAAGGATATTAAAATGAGAATGAGAATAAAGAGAGCGAGAAAGAGAAAAGGAAGAAATGCGAAAAGGAAAAGGATATTAAAATGAAATGAAAAAAAGAGAGCGAGAAAGAGAAAAGGAAGAAATGCGAAAAGGAAAAGGATATTAAAATGAGAATGAAGACAAAGAGAGCGAGAAAGAAAAAGGAGGCAATGCACTGGTATCGATATTTCGCTCGATTCCAGCTAACGAAATTGGTGTTTTATCATCGAGACAACATTCAACCGAATATTTCAATTAACAAATATCTTTCACGACATTTAACGCTTAATTGTCCATCTATACCTTAAGCAGAAACATGTATGATACATGTTTTATGTTTACAAACCATCGCTGTGTGGAAGACGGTTTTATTGCTTCATTTATGGCAGTCCTTCCTTCCTTTAAATAGGCCTACATCAACCACATCACGACTCACGGTTTCCAAGCAGCTCTGGCCCGACCTTGAAAACCGCTTATATATATGGAGCTTCTAATAGCATTCAATCAAAATTTCCGACAGCAACCACGCCTTCAATCCTCTCGAGATGGTAGGATTGACGAATGCCTTTGCTGAAGCTAGTTCCTCATTGCGAGAATGGCTGGCGGGAATGATGTCTCGGCAAATTGTTATAACTGTTTCGATGTTTCTGCTATATCTGATGTGCTATGAGATGTGAAATGATTCAGGATGGATTGCGCATCATTATATCATTATAATCAGGCAATTAACACGTGTCCCTCTCTTTGCAGATGTTACAGGCGATGTTTGTATGCCTCGTGGTCGGTATCGCCCTCGGCCAGACGGAAGGCGCAAACAACACATCTGTTCCCGACAACACCAAGACCGCCCCGACTCCCGCCGACATCCCGACGCCCACGGCCGATTATCCAGCCCCTTTTGAGAGTGTGAACGCCGGATTACCCCCGATCCACGCCCCTCCAACGTACCTCAGCTTAAACGACCTTTTAACCTGGACGAGCGGCGCTCCCATTAGCCCGGGAATCCCAGCCGTGGACGGAGGAGCCTTGTTCGTCGTTGGGTTTGCCCCGCTCGTCAAGCCCGGGCAATGCCCCCCATTACGTACCCATTGCCTTCCGGGTTACTCTCAGGACCTCCGCAAAGTGGGGTCCTTCCCTGCCCAGGTCTGCGCCGCCGACTTCGACTGCCCCGGGACGAACAAGTGCTGTTTCGATGTCTGTCTTAACGAGGCTGTTTGCAAGTCTTCGGCGAGGATTTTCCGGTGGTAGAGAAAGCTCGTGAGACCTGGTGTTGTGTCCTTGTTTGTGTCTTCACTTTGAATGGCTGTCACAGGAAACTTTCAATGAATAAGAGAATAGTATTGATATTATTTGTCTCTCTCATGTCCCAGGCTGATGGCGGGAGAGTGGCTGTAACTGAGAAATTAATTGATCGATCATAGTGATTAATAGTCACTTAGCAATCCTTTTTTTCAATACGCTAAATGACTCGTCCATCGGTAATTACATATATACATACATATATATATATATATATATATATATATATATATATATATATATATATATATATATATATTATATATATATATATATATATATATATTATATCAGTTTCATTCATAAAGTCAAGAATTTCATCCGAAAAATAATACCAATCATATTCGTAATAGTTTGCTCTTTAAAGTGACAATATATTAATTCATAAAAAGAAAATGATAATTTCATTCGGTAGTAATTGCAGTCGCAAAAGAGGAATAATTACACCCAATAAAGCTTAATTATTGGCGTTAAGAGAGTTTTTATTATAGATTCTCCGGTAACGACTAAACTTAACTTTTATGGCATGTTTCTTTGTCATATTTTAACAAAAGGAAACATTTTTTCTTAATACCATCGGACTGTTTCATAAAAAAAGAAAAAAAAAACGTTCTAAAAAGATATAGTTTTCTTTTTTTTTCTTAAGCCTAACTAATAAGTAGCTAGATTGAAATACCAACATTATTTGATGCTAAAGAGAAGCTGAATAAACGAAACTTAAAAAGACCATATGAGATAAAAAAAAAAATAAATAATGATAATAACAATAATAATAATAATAATAATAATGAATAAATAAGAAAATAAAAGACAATAAAGACTTACGTAGCACATGAAAGAAATGGGATCCCCTGGATTCTGAATAGCTACAGCCGTCTCTGTACAGGATGCAACACCATGATAAAAGTTGCATCACAGAGAATCATGCTGTTTATCATAATTTCTTTCGTTCTTCTTTTATGGACGACAAACTCCAGGGACAGATTAAAGGGGGGGGGAGGGAGGAAGGAGGGATTCCCATGGTATAGCCCCCGGTCCTCCCACGCAGGAGGAGACGCCACAACACGACGTAAATAAAATACTAATATGCGAGTCTTGCAAAATGGTCTTATGTACCGTCATCCATGCAGAGTTGCGTAAATAAATACCTTCGAGGTAGACTTTTTTTCTTTTTTTCTTTTGGTTGCATTTATGACAGCCTTCGAGGTAGACTTTTTTTCTTTTTTCTTTTGGTTGCATTTATGACTCTGCAATTCAATTATTAGTTTGGTTATGATGAGTATTAATATTATTTTTTTATCAGGAGTCTTCCTTAACCTTCCCTACTATTAATTCATTATTAATCCATTCATCTATCGATTAATCTAACTCTACATTATTTAAGCGAAAAAAGTCGTACCATTAATTTAACTATCACTCTATCCTCCGATTAAAAGAGGACATCAAACAGCACCTTTCTTTCCGAGCAAATATGCAAATTACCTTTTTGCGCGCCGGTGACAGCAGGATGCGCTCCTCTCGGTTTTGCAAGTAATAAGGACTTTGCACGCAACACACACACACACTGGGAGACGCGCCGTGCATTGTTGCATGACAAGACTCAGGTGTGAGCATTTCTTGTTCCTTCAGTGCAACCGTTTAGTCTCTGCAGAGGTTACCTTGAACCTCTGTCTCCTGCCCTTCCGCATTCTTCTGCAGGTGTCTGTTTCATATCTTTATCTCCGTCTATTAAGGAGAGGGAGAGAGGAGAGAGAGAGAGAGAGAGAGAGAGAGAGAGAGAGAGAGAGAGAGAGAGAGAGAGAGAGAGCGAGAGAAAGCTCATACCAACGCTTATCATACCCAAGAGAGAGATTGATTTATGTGTGTGTGTGTGTGTGTGTGTGTGTGTGTGTGTGTGTGTGTGTGTGTGTGTGTGTGTGTGTGTGTGTGTGTGTGTGTGTGTGTGTGTGTGTGTGTTGATATTTAATTATCCCAACACATAGACATGTATATAAACAAACACAATAACATATATAATCGAACAACTAAAATAGTGAGACAAAGATAGACTGATACGTATGTAGATATACACGTGTGTATATGTGCGTGTGTACATATGTAAGAAAAACACATATGAACATGGTTATTTCGCTCCCACCACATAGATGGCGCAGTTATCACCCGTGACGTCATAGCGTCCTCTGACCTTGGAGGTCGTCTATATATAAAGGTAATCTGGTCTCTCCTTCCAGTGCCGGAGTTGCCTTCCTCCGCTGTGAACGTCCACTCCTACAAAATTTTATCACGGTAATAGAATTATAAATATTCGGTGAATTATAAATATTTATAAAGGGGCAAATCATATAACCAAACGAGTGATGGGGTAGAGGTATTTCTTTTCTCTATTTTCTTTCTTTTTCAGTTTTTTCTTTTCTCTTTTCTTCTACATTTTTTTCTTTTCCATTCTTTTTTTACTTTTTTTCGTTTTTTTCTTTTCCTTTTTTTTTTTTTCTTTTTTTTCGTTTTTTTTTTTCTTTTCCTTATTTTAGATTTTCTTTCCCTTTTTCATTTCTTCATTTTGTTCCCTTTTATTTTCTATTTACAATTTACTTGCGATGTACTCAAAGTGGGCATTCCCCGTCCTCCAGATGCTGAGAGTGCTGCTGCTGTGCCTGGCCGCGGGGTCGACCCTCGCCCAGAACACCAACAGCACCAACCAAGGAAACACTCGTATCTTCGGTCTGGGAAACCTCCTCTCGGGCTTGACTGGGAACCGACCCAACAGACCCTTCAACGGAGGCTTCAACCAGGGAGGATTCAACCAGGGAGGCTTCAACCAAGGCTTCAATCCCGGGTTCAACCAGGGCGGTTTCAACCAGGGCGGCTTCAACCAGGGAGGCTTCGGACAGCTCGGTAACTTCGTCGGTGGACTCGCTGCGGGCATCCTCGGCCAATCAGGCTTCCGACCTCCCTTCAACCAAGGAGGCTTCAACCAGTTCAAGCCAGGTCGTTGCCCCGCGGTGCGACCCCAGTGTCCGAACACGAGGTTTGGCAGGCCTCAGGTCTGCTTCAACGACTTCGCCTGCGCGGGTTCGGACAAGTGCTGCTTCGACACCTGTCTCGGCGAACGCGTGTGCAAACCCATCTCCAATTTTGGGAAGTGAATTTCTCAATTGTTATCTTTTTTTTTAAATGTGTGTGCTCGAAAATACAGTTTTATGTATTTAAGAAAATATATATGTGTATGAATATGTCGTAGTGTGTTTTATTTTCTCGTTTGTTTTGTTTGTATGATTGATTTTGCGTGCGTGTTTGTGTAGTTTTGGAACTACCGAGTAAATGATGTCTGTTTGTATTTACTATAATAAAAAGTTGGCTTCAATATGTCGTATTCTTAACTACAAGTAAATCCAGCTCTTAAATATTCTTATATAAAAAGGGAATCCTGACTATGCTATACAGTAGGGAGAAGGAAGCCAGAAAGAATAATATAAAACTGGAGTGACAATATTATCAATATTATCATTATTATCATTTTCATTATCATCATCATTAGTAGTAGTAGTATTCATTATCATTACCATGAATATTATTACGATCATTAACATGACTAGTAGTAGTAGTAACATCACCACCACTATCATCATTAGTCAAAATTTCAAATAAAAACAAACCATATTCGTCATTAGTAAATTTTCAGTAAACACAAATCACCATATTTGTCATTAGTCAAAATTTCAAATAAAGTAAAGACAAATCACCATTTTCTCATTAGTCAAATTTTCAAATCACCATATAAGTCAAAAAATAAAGTAAACACAAATCACCATATTCTTTATTAGTCAAATTTCAAATAAGACAACGCTATATTCGCCTCTGTGAAAAATTCTATCATTGTCTTCAGCCCAGTCTCAGCTGTTCAGGGCTTCCTTCGACCCAATGAAATACCTGTCTGTTTCCTGTTCATTTTGCCGGAGGGTTCAAGGCTCAAGGAGGCGGACTAGTTGGGTCGAACCTTTGATGGTTAGTGTTTATGGGGGCTGGTTTACTTCTCTGTCTGTTTGTCTGTGTCTGTTTCTGTCTGGTTTGTCTGTCTGTCTGTTTGTCTCTGCTTCTTTCTATCATTCTTTCTTTTTCTCTGTTCTTTATTTTCTCTCTCTCTCTCTCTCGCTCTCTCGCTCTCTCTCTCGCTCTCGTTCTCGTTTCTCTTCTCTCTCTCTCTCTCTCTCTCTCTCTCTCTCTCCTCTCTCTCTCTCTCTCTCTCTCTCTCTCTCTCTTCTCTCTCTCTCTCTCCCTCTCCCTCTCCCTCTCCCTCTCCCTCCCCTCCCTCTCTCTCCTCTCCCTCTCCTCTCTCCCTCTCTCCCTCTCCCTCTCTCCCTCTCACTCACTCACCTTAACCTTTCTCTCTCCCTCTCCCTCCCCATCTCCCTCCCTACCTCCCACTCGCCCTCTCCACCGGCCAATCCACCTCAAAACGACCAGTCATGTAAGTTTTCATATTTATCCTTATAGCGTTTGCCGGCAACCTCTACCCCTTGTTATACGAAGCTGATGATCAAGACACAGACGTCGAAACAGGAAACAAATGACAGTCGGCATGCGTGTTCGCTGACCTTGCTTCGCTTGCGGGAGAATGCGCTTCTGGAACTTATACTCCGATCTGTTGCTGAAACGATCCGGAACTTATAGTCTGAACTTATACAAAGATCCGGAACTTATACTCTGAAACGATCCGGAACTTGTACTCTTGAATCGATCCGGAAGTTTATACTCTGAAACGATCCGGAACTTATATTGTAAAACGATCCGGAACTTATACTCTTAAACGATCCGAAAACTTAGATCCGGAAACGATCCGGAACTTATACTTGAAACTGGAACTATACTCTGAAATCCGAACTTATTATCCGGAACTTGAAACTCTGAAACATCCGGAAATACTCTGAAACATCCGACTCTGAAACGATCCGGACTTATACTCTGAAACGTAACTTTATACTCTGAAACGATCCGGAAACGATCCGAAACTGAAACATCCGGAACTTATACTCTGAAAGGGAACTTATACTCTGAAAACGATCCGACTTATTTTGAAAAAACATCCTGAAAACGACTCTGAAAAACGAACTCCGAACTTATCTCTGAAGCGATCCGGACTTATACTGATCCGGAACTTTATGCGATAACGCCGGAACTTATACCTAAATTTATTACTCTGAAATCTATTTACTCTGAAACGATCGAACTTATACTACGGAACGATATATTTGATCCAACTTTTACTCTGAAAACGATCCGAACTTATATCTTAATTTATCTCTCGGAAAAACGATCCGAAACGACTCCGGAATTATTACTCTGATACTCGTATCCGAGCGAATTCTTATCCTAACTCATACTCTAAAAAGGTCCGAAACTTTATATCTAAACGATCCGACTTAACTTTGAAACGACCGAACTTATACTCTGAAAAGATCTCGAACTTATACTCGAAACGACCGAACTCATACTCTGAAACGATCCGGAACTTTATACTCTGAAAAGATCCGAAAACTTATACTCTGAAACGATCCGGAACTTATACTCTGAAACGATCCGGAACTTATACTCTGAAACGATCCGGAACTTATACTCTGAAACGATCCACACCCTTATACTCTGAAAAACGATCCGGACTTATACTCTGAACGTTCCGGAACTTATTACTCTGAAACGATCCGGAACTTATACTCTGAAACGATCCGGAACTATTACTCTGAAGCGATCCGGAACTATAGTCTGAAACGATCGATCCGGAACTTATACTCTGAAACGATCCTGGAACTATACTCTGAAACGATCCGGAACTTATACTCTAAACGATCCGAACTTATAACTCTTATTTAAACGATCCGGAACTTATACTTTAAAGGATCCGGAACTTATTACTCTGAAAGGAACTTAGATCCGAAACTTATACTCTGAAACGAGAAACGATCGGAACTTAACTCTGAAACATCCGAACTTATACTCTAAACGATCCGGAATACTTATACTCTGAAACGATCCGGAACTTATACTCTGAAAACGATCCGGAATACGAAATCCGGAACTTATACTCTGAAACGATCCGGAACTTATACTCTGAAACGATCCGGAACTTATACTCTGAGAACTTATAGTCTGAAACGATCGATCCGAACGTCCGGATCTCTGAAACATCCGAACTTATACTCTTGAAACGAGATCCGGAACTTTATATCTGAAACGATCCGGGAACTTATACTCTGAAACGATCTTATACTCTAAACATCCGGAACTTATACTCTTAAAGGATCCGGAAACTTATACTCTGAAAACCCGATGAAACTATACTCTAAAATCCGGAACTTATACTCTGAAAACGATTCTTCTTCGAAAATCCGGAACTTATACTCTTGAAACGATCCGGAACTTATACTCTGAAAGATTCCGAACTTATACTCTGAAACGATCCGAACTTAACTCTGAAACGATCCGAACTTATACTCTGAAACGATCCGAAGAATCTATACTCTGAAACGATCCGGAACTTATACTCTGAAACGATCGGAACTTATACTCTGAAACGATCCGGAACTTATACTCTGAAACGATCCGGAACTTATACTCTGAAACGATCCGGAACTTATACTCTGAAACGAATCGATCCTGAACGATCCGAACTTATACTCTGAAACATCCGAATTATACTCTGAAACGTCCGGAATACTCTGAAACATCCGAACTTATACTCGAAACGATCCGAACTTATACTCTTGATACTCTCTGAAACACAGGTCGAGTGCTTTATAGTGGTAAAAGTCCTGGTAGTGTGTGGAATGGAGTCTGGTTTGAGGTTTGGATTGTTGGTGTTATATGGGAAGTAAATGTGGTGTAAGGTTGGAATTTGATGCTACGATAAAGGAATCAAATCTTAAATATTATTAATAGATGCTGTATTTTCGGTTTAATAGGGAATCAGACCAGTTACTAGGCATAATATGGGATTAGATTTACTATTCTTTCAAATTGCTGTCTGAAAAGGAAATTAAATCATTGAGATAAAAAGAAATTTATGTATTAGATTCAAATCGCCAAAAGAAGGAACTGAATCACTTTTGATAGAATTTAAGAATCATGAATCAAAAACTAAATGTATAAATTCTGATTCTAGAATTATGGAAGAGCGAGGACAGAGAAGGAACAGAGGGTAAAGAGAGAGAGAGAGAAAGGGGTGAGCAGAGTGAGAGAGAAGGGGGGGAGGAAAAGAAAGAGAGATAGAAAGAGATTAGTGGGAAAGAGTGGGGAGAAGGGGGTAAAGAAGAGAAAATTGAAAGACACTAAGAGCATGAGGATGTGTGTGTGTGTGTGTGTGTGTGTGTGTGTGTGTGTGGTGTGTGTGTGTTGTGTGTGTGTGTTGTGTGTGTGTGTGTGTGACTCACCATGAGAGAGAAATGAGAAAAAAATAGAGGATGGGAGGGAGGAAAAAGGATATTAAACTGTCAAAATCTCGTAATTGGAGATTAAATGTATAAGACGGTGATGAATAACAACGATAGCAGTGATAGTGATGATAACGTGAGAATGATCGAAATTATATTAGTAAATAAAGCGATATATTGAACAAAAGACCGAACCAATTTATTTGCACATTAATTCTGCATATCAAATGTATCAAACATCATGTATAAACTATATTTCTCAGAAAGGGAGTCACATACAGTCTCAGTCGAGCATGTTTCGAATGCCGTTTCGAACAAGGAAATGATGCGGTTCTTATTGTTTACTTTTGAAGTGATTCGAAGCTTCATCCATCGGCCGCTTTGTTAAAATTGTTTTCATAAATACAAACGCAGAAATAAAGGCATATCTGTCTATATATCTGATAGATTAAAATTAAATACCTATTTTCTCGGTTGATATGCATGTCTAGACTGATAACTATGCATTTATTTCTTTATGTATGCATGTCAAGTATACGAATATTTTTTGGGTCGGGCCTTTCACAATTTTAACAAACCGGAAGTAAAGACACGACTTTTGTCCATGAGATTCATTTATGGAAAGGGTAACTATTAAATACCTCAAAGTGATGTTAGAAAGTATTTGATTATTAGCCTTAATTTGGCTTGATTGTTATTTATCAAAAATGATATAGATAGTAGTAAACGATGATGGTTATAACAGAATAATCAGAAGGAAATCACAACAAGGCGTACGAATAGTTGTAGTAGTATTAGCAATGAGATAATAATAATTATCACCATTATAATCTTTATCATTCTCATTAATATCATCATCATTATTATCATCATAACCCTAATATTCTTTACTATCATTTTCATAACAATGAAAAGAGATAATAATGACGATAACA